TCCGGTCTCAAGACCACTTTTTGATGRTCTTGGTCTTGYCTCRGACTCGACCACATTTGTAYCTCGGACATTGTGGACTCTGGATTTTATTTCAAGACCACAACTGYAAAAATATTACTAAACAGCCAGAATGTTGTTGAATTTATTTGTTAACATTCTTCGTTCATTCGATGTAAAACATACTGATTCAAATCCAAACCTGACTCATTGCTATTTATGTATTTTTGTTAGCCATGTCACCCATCCCCACCCCTGTTCACTCGCACACGGCACTCCAAAAAGTGAGCAGTAGTTCTCTGGGAGCAGGAGAAGATGTCTGCAAAACCTTCAATAATACAGTTCGGCTACTAAAATCATAACAAATATATTTGTAAAACAATATCCAGAAGAAAGCAAACGTTAGCAATCTGCCTCTGTGGCAAAATTATTTTCTCAGTCCTCGCAGATTTTGTCAATATTAGCTCTACATATTAAGTTAGGTACATGTGTACTGAACACTCCTTCTTTTACAGAACTGGTTTTCTTTTATTTATTCATTTTTTTTCTGGTCTTGGTCTTGACTCGGTCTCGCCCTCCATCGGTCTTGGTCTCGACTTGGTCCAGGCCCTAAATGTCTTGGTCTTGTCTCGGTCTCGATACACTGTGGTCTTGGTCTCGGGTTRGGTGGTCTTGACTACAACACTRGCAAAGACCCATTCATCTTTAAGCTACCTCTGACTGTTGCTTACATCCAGCGTAGATGTGAGCTTTCAGAAATAAAGTAAGCTTTGCTGAACCAAAAGTATCACTGAGCAGGTCTAAGCTGAGTGCATGTGATGCATAATGCAATAAATGTGAWGTGGGATTTTCAAAATATTAAAAATAATGTGAGAACGTGGACACTACCAGTCAATTCATAAATCACACCGAAATGACCAGGAGGCATCCAAATCTTTGCCTGAAGTATTTTGTAAAAGTAAYTATTTTAAAAGGAAATGTCTTGCACAATGTGACCGAGCAAAGCTGGACCACGAAGAAAAGTAACCCAAAATGCGGTCCTTTCATCTTGTTTCACTTTTAAATGTGCTCAACATTACTGCAACACGAGAGCAAGGCCCAGCGGCTCTGAGGAAACTGAAAACCCTCGCAAACATTTCGAGACATTTTTAAACTCCTTCGTGAATGCCGTTGCACAATTTGTTCCCAACAGTCAGAGCCAAGCAAGGTGCTGTCTTTAGACCTTGCTGTCGAAGGAAGAGTTGAGAGGATGGTGGACGGTGAGTTATGGATTACCACAGGGCAATAACTTAAAGGTCGAGCAAGGTTACCAGCCAGTACTTTATTTATACGCTCCTGCTTTAGACATGTTAAAGTCAAAGAACAAGAACGTTACTGTGAACTGTGTTTGTAATAAACCCTCAAAAGACCACATGGTTTCCAAATTCTTTCAGCACTCTTGGATATTCCCCCGTGAAAATGTGCTGTTTGTTTTTTAAGGCAGGGTTAGACGGGGACAGATGTTCAGAGTGTGCCCTGTAATAAAGTGGGTGTGACTCTTTGATTGGGATTTTACTTTTTCATGAATGAAAGCAGGAGACATCCTGTCTCTGTGGGATACAGACTCCAGCGCCAGTTTGAGTCGTGTGACTCATCTCGAATCCTGACGGGGGGAGCGTGGAGACAAAAGAGCTGGCTTTGTGAGGAGACTGCCAATTGTTGATGTTGCTCTTTATGCAAACGACAAATTGGCAAATTGATGAACAGATGAATGGAGCTGGGTTGTTGTTTAATACTTTTAAACATTCCAGGAGATCACACAGAAAGTGTACTGCAGCTCATGCGGGACAATATGGAGTTAGTGCAGGAAAATGCTTTCGGGGGAAAAAACCCGACAACTGAGTAATTGTTACTCGGAATAAATCCATGCACATATTTCTCTACGTTTAATGCCATGTGTTTGTTTTAGATACCGCTTTGATCCCAAAGCACACATAGATGTGTTTCCTGCACTTTGATGTGGAATGAGATGCATTCGTCTGTGACATGGATGGCTCCAAGACAACAAAGGGAAACGAGAGTTTGTTGGGAAGTGGCAGGAAGCTCTCTGYCGTCACAAAGTCTGGGGGTCACTGGAGGATCTGAGTCTGGGGAACTAAATGACTGAAGACCTTTTACAGGGTGTTTAAGAGATTGCTGTGGCTTACAGAACAATTAGAACTGAACATGAGCTCCTGACTGTGCCCGCAGCTGTGTCATCCCAACCTGCTTTATGGGCACTCTGGTGTGAGCAGAGGGAATTCTTCGCAGCAGGATGGGAATAAAAGCACCGCCAAGGTTTAAATTCAGCGTGCCCTTATCCTGCTCGCTCCTCACTCTGACATCAGCACATAAAACAAAAGTGCTCACATTACTCTCCAATCTACCATTTTTATTCATGTATAATATGATTTTGAGCGTAATACAATCATCATTTTTTGAGCTTAAAAAGCATTAAAAAATCTAATTATCATTAACCCGAGTATAACACTACACCTCCACTTTATGGATGATTTTTAGGGTTCAATTTATAGTATTATACATGAATAAATACTAGTAATTGCCACGGCACAATCTCATTTAAAAATAAACCCAGAAGACAAGCCAACAACTTACCCATTTTAAGCTGCAACTGGTTGTTACAACCATCTGGAAAGCTGTATCTTTAGGTTTACTTTTTTTAAAACATGTGGCCCATTATTGCTGGAGGTAGAGCTTATGTCRTTTTACATCTTGTTCGTCCTCACTGTCGACTGAGGGCAACAAGAAGAGGAGGATGGTTGTGTCCTGTGGGTGTCTTCCAAGAAAACGTGTTATCGCCATGAGAGGGGCTGTGACTCATTGACTCTGGTTCAAGGCTCTTCGTCGGGACCCCCGACAGAGAGAGGGCTTCTCCTTATCCTGAAAAAGCAGATCTCGTGAGTCACAAACACCATTACTGTGCCTCAAACATTTGCTAAAAATGCTGTTGCAATAACAGCCAGATTTGTTTGTGGAAGGGGAAAAAATGCTGGATGTTCCACACTGCCAGAAACACACTGTACATTTTCAATTACTTTTGCTGAATCTGTTCCTAATTTATTACATTTTAATTTACTTTTATGAAGCGTCTTCACTTCATTGAACACTGCCAAAAATGTGTTACCTGAAATGTCTTCTCTAATTCAAACTGGTTTGTGTGGTTTTTGAAGACATAAAATGGCACAAAAAGGATCTTAAAACATGTGGCTCAAACTTTGCCTGAGCTCATGCGCATCATTTATTGTGCAATGGTTCAAACACCTGAGTTTTCAATACATAACAATGATTGTGAAATATAGTTAACAATAAAAGCTAAATATAAGCACCAGAATGTAGAGTTCTTGTTTCTTTTTTTTCTCTTCTACTGAACACTTTAAGGTGTCAAACGTTATCAGTCATATTGTGCGTGGTTCAATCTAAGCAGTGTAAGACAAAACGTCATGTGCAGAGGTGAGCCTGTGGTTTATAGGAATAAATTTGAAACTAGAGTGCCACTGAGTATGTTTTTGCAGAAAAGATTTGTCCCAGAGCACATTTGAATTTTTGCCATATTTGTTTTCTATCAGCTAATTACAGTCCGGAATCAGTTTAAAGCCATAATTACAAAAGTGGTTTATAAATGTTTGATGGATTACTATTGAATAAAGTGTAAAAAAACAGTTTTCTACTTCCCTCAACTGTAAAATTAATCAGCACTTGGCTATAATCTATGAGACYATTTTTCACACTGAAAACGTTTTACTTTGTTGTTTCTTTTTTTAATGCTTTGAGACAATTTGAACCTTAAACTTTTACTGGTAATTGTGTATTCATTTGATACTTTTATTAGGCTAGAATCTAAATATTTTTCCCTCTGTAAGATATGTGACTCTTAAGGTCTGATGGTTAAGTAATGCATTTGTTACTTTGTACTAACATTTCATATGTAGTGGTTGCCATTTTGTTTGGTCACAAATGGATATGTTTTACATTGACCACTGACACATAAAAATATGGTATTTCAAGATTGAACTGTAGGAGTTGTGCTAATTTTAGTTTTGATTAAAAGCTGTACTCCAGAAAAATTAATTATCAACATTGACCAAAAAGGGTGTAAAGCAGCTGGGCCARTTGAGTGAAGCTGGGTATGGTGAGTATGAAACAGGCTGGTGACAACAAATTATGGTCAAGGTGGRCATAAAGGATGCTAAGAGGAGTGAAGCAGATTGAACTGAGTACAAAGTGGGCTAAGGTGAGTACAAAACAGGCTAAAATGAGTACAAAATAGACCAAAGCGAGTATGAATTGTGCTTAAAGGAGTGCAAAATGAGCTAACATGCGTATGACTCATAGCATGCAGCTTCTTTTCATATCYATGAAAGGATGGTTACAAAATACTGAAATGCAAAAAGTATGCTGTGATTACTTAATCCTGAGCTGACGAGCTCATGATGAAAATAATCATTTTTACTGGAAGTCTTTTTTTTTTCTGTTATGGAGCTAAAACTCTTAATGCTTTCATTTTAACMTACACTTTATCAACTTATTTACATAACTTGTTATTTGATTCAGAACATATGGGAATGACTGCCAGATTAGATAAGACCAAATAAATGATAAATGTTCTCTGGTGAAGTGCCCTTGAGTCCTCTCAGTTCCAGCTGAGTCTGTTTGGTCCTCTCGGCTTACCGACATGCTTCTGGTCCAGGCATCAGCATCCAGAAGATAATGTGGGGGGGGTGAATGCCTGCGGACTGACCAGGACCAGCCCTGGCTTGACTTTTCGCCCAGCTGCTGGAATGGGAAACCGATCCTCGTGTCCACGTGTTTGTGTCATTTCCATCTCGTTTGCATATGTAAACCGGCCTCGCCTATGGCTCCKCGGCTGCACCGAGCGCGGCGGCCGATTGGTCGGCCGCGAGCCAATGGGAGAGCGGGAGCCGTCTGGCCCCGCCCCCCCAGACACGTTGCCTTGGGAGAAGCTACACGGGCAGAGYACTGGCTGTGGCCGCTGCTTCGCCGCTCACACGCCGCACGTCCCGCACTCAGCTCTTCTCTGGACCCACACAGTTCTGCCGGATTCCCCGCAGAACAAAGGAGGAGGAACGACCAGCCGCCGCATCCTGAGGACGGTAGGAGACCTCCAACATCACCCCTACCACCACACACTGACAAAACAGCAGCGGCTATGTATGAAAAGACGCGTGCTGCTAGCTTAAAAAAAAAAAACATAAAAATCTAACCTGGCTAGAGGAATTTCATAGTCATAGGAAGAAAAATTAAAAATTAGGTAATACAGGCATTCTTCTGCTGTTCCTGTTTTTGGTTCTGGTATTATATAATCTACGAGAGTGCATCTAAATTCACTAAAACAATGAGGAAGTCTATTGTTTTTTACTCAAGGCGGACAGATCCGATCATTATCACTTCTCCCTCTAAAATACTGATGTCAGACCTGATGTTCACGTACTTGGGTTATTTAATGGTGGGCATCCGCATTCAGGTTGCTAATATCTGGCATTTTGTGTGTCCTTTAATAAACACTGTAAAATATCCACTGTATAAGATGCTATAAAATGGTGAGATTATTTTTTTAGTCAGAATATTGGGCTGTGAGTGTGAGGTGTAGAGATGTAGTAATAAAAAGAAAGCCCAGGGCAAATTGATCTTTGAACAAACCTGACTTGTTGGTTTTTTGCACAAGTAAATCAAACCAGGGCTAAAACAAGTCACGACACTGACTGGATGCTAAATTCCTTCTTCTTTTTTTAAGCTGTGTTGAATGCATTGTTACATAAAAAAAGGGGAATGGCTCTTCCAGCTGACACTAATGAGATCCACATTGTAAACATTCTAGATTAAGTAATTTCTGATAACTCTCTGGAAGACGTGAAACACAGTATTCAGATTGTAAACACTCTTTTTTTTTTTTACTTATAAACTCAATTGTCTAGTTTTTATTTAAATAGATTTTTAATTTGTAAACAAAAACAGGTGAAAATATAAATTAGTGCCTTTTGGGCCTGGATGAGGAGGTCCTGTAAATGAATAAGCCCCTCTGCTCCACCCTCCTCTTTGACAACAACCTCAGAAAGTGGCCGTCCTGAAACAAAGAAGCAGCGAGTCGTTACCTCTTCTGCCCTCCGATTTCACAGGAAACCAGAGCCCAGCCAGACGTTTAACCGTTCAAAACACTAAAAATAATCCCTGAGCTGAAAAGGCTGCTCTCACTTCCTTCATGCGCTAATCGCCAAGGAAACGCGTTGAAGCTCCAGCAACCAATTAGGCATCTGTGAAGAGCTTTTGATTTATTTTCCCGTCTTCCTTTTTTATTCACGAGCCATTCCTCGATCGAGAACAAGCAGTTCTAGCTTTTATTGTTCTTTAACTGCACGTCAAGTGTCATCTTTGTGGAAGAGGGTCAACAKTCCTCTGATGCAGACCCCTGCCCCCCTTTGAATAAACAAGCATCTCTGTGAATGGACGTGGTAGCAGCTGGGAGGCTTGGAAAAATAAAAAAATTAAAAAAAATGGGTGAAGGGGAGGAAAAAACCCATCGTCATCCCTGAATCTGCACGAATCTATAAAACGGAGAGATTTGTTTGAATGAGGAGAACTTGGGACACGTGACGCTCTGAGGTGTGGAGTATCGGGTGGTGTTTGCTTTTGATGGTGGTTAGCCTGTGTTTACTGGCTCAGGTGTTGCATCTGCAAAACAAACAGGTCATTGTGGTCTGACAACTACCATCTGCTCTGCTCCGCTCGCTCCGTTGTCTCTGTCTTTATTCTCGTCTGCTCGCTTGGAGATGCCCGTTTCTCTAAGTTATTATTATTCTAATTCAAGCAAACTCGCAGCGCTTGCTCAAGGACACTGCAGTAGTTATTTTGACTTGATTTAGTTACATTTTGGTCAGTCTCTGCAATTATAGTTGTAATTTATGCCTTTTGTGTGTGTGTGTATCGTTGCACTAAAGTGAGTTTCTCTCCCTCAGGTCAGTGATGGTCAGTGCTGGTTAGAGCCCGCAGCTGAGGATGTCTGCTACAGATTCGGACAACTCCATTGACTGGCTGGCTAGTGACAATGAGGAGAACGACAGCGAACAAGAGCCCGACTGTGCTTCGAAGAACGCTCAGGCGGAGGCTGCTCCGTCCCCCGGCAGCCCTCCCCGCCCGGGCCTGTCTGACGGCGGCAGGCCCAAGGAGGGCGGCGGTGACTGGAGCGAGGTCTCCAGCCGGGGATCTCCTCGCCGCCTTGAGAAAACAGACAGAGACGCTGCCGTCGGGCTGTATAGAACCCAACGTGGAGAGAAGGTGACCGGCAAGAGCACTCAGCCGGTGAAGAGACCTCACAGCTCCGCGGAGGAGCAGAGCAAGGAGCGGCAGCTCATTTCGTCAGAGAAGGATCAAATGTTTAGCAGCAAGGTGAGCACCTCTCATGTTTGCTTCCCGGCAGGAGGCAGCTAACAGAATCAGCAAAACTTAGGACATGCCCTATCACCCAGRTCGCGTCCCCTGCTGATTTTCAGCCATTTCCAGTAAAGATGAGCCTCCCATGCAGCCACTGAAGGACTGTGGGTCATGCTTTTTTGGAGAAATCGAGGCACTTCATACTAAGTCCAGGGCTGCTAGTCAGTTAGCCGTTATTTTGAAGCCAACATGGGAAAGAAAAGCTGTTTATGCTGCTGTGATATCAGCCTTCCAGAAGGTGTTTGAGCGTGTTATGTCACCTGCCTACAAATCAATCTATTATCATTCGCAGTGCGTGGAGCTACAGTGCTACATTCATCCACTGTCATCAATCTTGAATGGCCTTCGTTCAGGGAGATACAAAGAAAGTAAGTCAATCATTTCATTTGCTCTCTGCCTTTTTTTTTCTTCTTTTTTAGCAAAGTAAGAACACTGTAAATAAGAATACTAGCTTTCTGGTGTTCATCCTCTTCTGATACAGAAATGATGATCACAATATTTTTAAAATATTTTCGTAAAAACGTGTTTCTTTAAAGAGATATGGGAGGTTTCTAAAGCTTTGCCCACTGTCTTCTTAAAAAACTGAAGAAAATCTTTTGTGCATGTATGTTCCTGAAATTAGGAGAGTGAGTTCACGAAATTGCATCGCTGCAGGACCAACCACAAATATTCACGTTCTGTGTGGGTGTTTTGTAACAGAGATCATTTTGGCTAGCAGCCGCAGTATTTTGTGAGATAAGGACAGCCTGAAAGTAAGGTTATTTTACCCTAACAAGTGCAGGAAGCTTCACACTTTGCACTTCCTTCTAAACTTGGCAGAGGGGAGTGGGAACATACTGTACCACACACTGCAGAGAAAAGCAGCTGCTGTTTGTGTTTTTTGTCAGTTAGGCATTATTTGCGCCTTTTGGAAGAAATAACCACATCCAGACGAGCTCTCCAAACTGCTTAGTTTGGGATCTTGGTCAAACCCAAACCTTGTGTGACCCGGGACTTCCCGTTCCCAGAAGCAGGGAGTCCGTTCCTCCGTACAAACATTTTTTTTTGCACAACCCATCTGCCTCGCAGACTCAGCCCTGCTGTCCAACATGATTCAACGTTCTTCTTCTTCTTCGTTTCCAGGACTCAGCAGCTTCCAGGAGAGCGTGGCCATGGACCGGATTCAGAGGATCATGGGAGTCCTGCAGAACCCCTTCATGGGGTAAGTGCGAGCCACGTTCTCTTCTGTTTGAATGGACCTCCGGTGAAAACTCTACCCCCGGCATCGAAATGCAGTTAGCCTTCTAAGTGGTCTCCATTATGCCTCTGACACATTGCTCACAGCAGGTTTCTGCTACCCCCACACATTCAGGATAAATTTACTGCAGAGATGGCTGAGTCGCTCTTTAGCTGGGCATCTCATTAAAAATGTATCACGCTCCACTGTGGGCGAAGCACGCTTGATTAGCTCTCCACTGGCCAGACGGTGTAATGGAGTATGATACTACCTATTTGAAAGAGAAAGTTCTATTTATACAGTAGTATTAAAAGTAGTGATTTTTCCCTGTAAAAAAGTAATAATTAAATGTACCAGCCAATTTCAGACAGCTTAATTGGCTTGTTACATTATTGTTTATATAAAACATACTCTCTTTATTAAAGTGGTTGTTTATTATCTGCATACAAGCTAAAAGAATTGGGGGTCTGTGAGTAAGTTATAAACATCATTATTTAACCTGTTGTAGATACTCAGACTGGGTTTGGAGAAATAGAGTTTAATTCTGACCTGACTGGGCTGAAAGCTAACTCAAGCTGTGTTACGACCATTTTACACTGGTATTCCCACAGAAAATAATACAACACTCCTACAGGAAGTGCCTCAAGCTGCACAGGAAGTGCTACACCTAGCTGCTGCTACCATTTGGACTAGCAAATAACTACAGAATTTTACGTAAAAAGCTATTTGCTCAGTCTGGTCAGAGAAACTATTTGTCCACACTGAGGATGTATCCACAACTAATATGATTAATGCTCATAAATTTTCTGCAGAACCCCATTTCAAAAGAGCTGAACTATGACTTTAAGGGAGAAAATGTCGTCTGCCATCACTAATATGCACCTTCATATACATATATTTATTTACTGTACTAGGTATATGTACATTATATATCACGTGTGTGTTTTTGTTTTTCTTTTATTTATTTTTCTTTATTCTATCTCACCCTCTCCTGTATTGAGCTGCAGTAATGTACAAATTTCCCCACTGTGGGATCAATAAAGTCTTATCTTAT